GGGCTGGGGATTCGAACCCGCCACCTTAGGTGTACGTGGCTGGCGCCTTAGCCGGTTGAGCTATAGGTGCCGAGCCCAAAGATGCTCTTATACCCTGGAGTCCTTAGGTTCATCCCAGGTGGCACCTGGTTCCACATCAGAGTAGATTTTCCCACCCATTTACCTTCAGCCACAGCCACTCAATCCAAAGTTTCCCTGAACACCTGGGAGGCTTCCCAACCTCCTCTCACCCATCCCTTCCTCCTATAGCTCCATCACTTTCTAATTCTTTCCTTCTTATTTTTATTTTCTCCTTGAGACAGAGTCTCACTCGTGCCCAAGCTAGAGTAGCATCAGCCTAGCCCACAGCAACCTCAAACTCCTGGGCTCAAGTGGATCCTCTTGCCTCAGCCTCACAAGTAGTAGGACTATAGGCATCTGCTACGATGTCCAGCTAATTTGTTTGGGTTTCTTTCCTATTTTTAGTAGAGACGGAGCCTTGCGCGTGCTCAGGCTGATCTCGAACTCCTGAGCTCAGGCGATCCTCCTGCCTCAGTCTCCCAGAGTGGTAGGATTATAGGCGTGAGTCACCTTGTCTGGCTTCCTAGCTCTTTGACCTGACCAGGCAACCTGCAGATACACAAGGTCATGACCAAACCCTGCCAATTCTGCAAAACCCCAACCCTGGCTGAATCCAGCCAGCCACATACCCTGAGAGCAGCTCAGCACAGTTGGGGAAGACTTGGTCTTGTTGATGGGTTTTTCTTTTTTTTGACATAGAGTCTCAGTATGTTGCCCTCAGTAGAGTGCTGTGGTGTCACAGCTCACAGCAACCTAAAACTCTTGGGCTTAAGTGATTCTCTTGCCTCAGCCTCCCAAGTAGCTGAGACTACAGGTGCCTGCCCAACACCCATCTATTTTTATTTTTTATGTTTTGGTTGTAGTTGTCACGGTTGTTTAGCAGGCCCGGACTGGATTTGAACCTGTCGGCCCCAGTGTATGTGGCCAGTGCCCCACCCACAAAGCTATGGGCGCTGAGCCTTGTTGATGGGTTTCATTTGCAACAGTGATCATCTGTACCTGATGCTCCTGGTAATCCTTGGTGCTCCCTGCCACATCACCCTCCTCCTCTGCCCCAGGATGTCCCTTCAGAACGGCACCCTCATGCCCTGTATCTCCCCTTGTGCGTCACTGAAAGACAAATGAATCAGATGCGAAAAGCCAGCCCCAAATCCACTTCCCTTCCCTTTATTGGTTACAATGGAAGCTGGGGGGGGGGGTCCCTGCCCCCACCAATGGTTGGTTCCCCCCTTTATTCATTAGCTCCCACCCCTTACACATGATCTATCTCCCCGTTTCTACAGGCTCATACCCATGGGCAACCCCCACATGGGTTAGTGTGGGTGTTACGAAAAGCCAAACACCAGCCCCTCCCCCTGGTCCACACTAACCTCTTTGCCGCCTGTCACAGCCCAACACCCAGGAGTCAACCCCCTCCACTAGCTCCACCTACTTGTCCTTCCTCAGCCTATTCCAATATAAGCCTTAGCCACAACCTCCCTTTGGCTAAATGAAACGGAAAAGCACCGTCCTTACAGAGCCTTCCTTCCTCAAAGACTCGGGTGACACAGTGGCTCGCTCCCCGCTCCTCCTCCTTGCTGGTTTCTCCTCTCCCATCTCCACTCTCTCCTTGGCTGAGCCCATCCAGTCTCTTTGGTCATTCCCTAATCCGTATCTCCAAGGCCAGGCTGTACCTTTAAATTCCAGGCTCATATTCCAATTGCCTAATTGATTTTCGCCTACTAGCTGAGTCACTTCTCAAAGTCTTGGCCAGAGCAGTCTTCCTCATCTCACAAATGACACTGCCTTTCACTCAGGGGCCCATGCCAAGCAGCTCAAAATCACTTCTGATCCTTCTTTGTCCTTCTGCAATCCCTTTACACCCAATGCATCAACAAGCTCTGTCTGGCACTACCTACAAAATAAATCCCAAATGCATCCCTTCCCCACCCCCTCTCCCATTACCCTGGTCCGAGCCTCATCCTCTTAGAATAAAATCCAAATCTTCAGTGAGACTCACAAGGCCTGTGTCTACCCACTCTCGTCCAACTTCCAGCCCTTGGATGTGCCAAGCTTATTCCCACTTCAGGGTTTTACAAATGCTACCCCCACACTTGAAATACTCCCCATAGATATTCTCATGGCTGACCCCATGGAATCATTCAGGTATCAACTTAAATGTCATTTTTTTTTTTTTTTTTT